TTATAACTTTGTCAAATAGAGACATTGTTTTAGAGTCAGCACCTTGCCAGATGTCCTTTGCAGAAGGACCTTTCCATAACATTCAATTTGTTATAGAATTACCCATGACCATAGTCTCTTTGATCCAATAAGGGCAATATGACCCAAATGTTTGTTTTACAACACAAACATAACAGATCATTTTTCACCAATGTTCATGTCTATACAAATAGACATATCTTTTCATGAAAAATCACAATATAATTTTGTGGTTTTATACTAGTCATATCATATACTAGTAAAGAGAGACTCAACGACCACAATATCAAATATACTCCAAAACTTTTGTGGGTCTAACATAATACATGAATGTCATTAAATTTCATATCTTGTACTTTCAAATTTAAATTAGATAGTAAGTCTAATTTTGTCTTTATCACAAGTAAAGAACCCCCACATTTTAAATATGTTCTCAAAAACATTTTTCAAGTATTTGAAATTATTTTCCACATATTTTTTCCATGCTTTCAAATTGTATACTATCAAAATATACATTGGCAACACAAAGCCTTCTTTTGGAGATTTAATCCATAGAAACACCCATTGCGGGCACAAAAATCACTAATTTTATGTTACTAGTATTTTTTTCTTCTTTCTACCACAACTAGACATACCACTTAGTATTTAGAATACTAACAATAAAGATTCAATCATTATAGAACTTGTTTCTAGTTTAACGATGAAGTTTTTATATTCTTCTAATTTTTACCAAATGAACCTTGAATTCTGATGAAGTTCTTATATTCTTCGAATCAATTTCACATTCAGACAGAGTAGTAAACCAAAAATTTAATCTCCAGAAATCTCAAATACAATATTGCTTCTAGCTAAAATGAAAATTTTATCTTTTTCAAATCATTTAGCCTTAATATTCCTGACGAAGATTTTGTACTCTTCAAGTCAGAATATTCATTCAAACAGAGTATTTACCAAATTGGTGAAGTTTCTATATTCTTCAAACAAATGCACAATCTATTTGTTCGTGAAGTTCTTATATTTTTCAAACCAAAGGAGTAAAAAAAATCAGAAGATTTTAGTCTTCAAAAGTCAAACAAAATCAAATTCACATGGAGTAGAAAACTACAAATTTTTTTCCTCCTCTAAACAGAATACATATTAATCATAATAAAGACATATTCTGAGATCATCACATAATGACTATCTATCCTAACATTTATGAAATAATTCTCATAACTTATAAAGGATAGAAAAAGAAAATAATAATCAAGGGAAATAAAGATAGAAACTGATTTTTATTCTCATTGAATCATATTCTATCTGTCAGCAATGATTCCATGCAAGTCACTTTTCTTACTATTTTTTTCTTTTCTCAGTTTCCATCATATTCCTATTTTCCTCAAGAAGACATTTAATTTCAACAAGAAACTAAATTCATGTTCAAATATTGTTAGGAGACAACATCTGTTCATTTACTTCTTCTCATAGTTATATAAAACCAAGAATTTTGGAAAAATAATTAAAGTGCTCATATTAACCTTTATGCACAAAATAACTTTTCTCATTGAAAAGAAAACTGAAGGGGTGCAATGCTTGAATGCACTTGAGAAGAAAATAAAAAATAATCTTACCCATACAAGGAAAACTTACTATAGAAAATATACTCGAACATATTAAAGTAATACTAATTCATCCCAAATCTCTTTTATCATTTGATAAAATAATTCTCTTTTTCATCTTGTTTTTCTCAATAAAAAGAACACAGAAAACATAAGTAATTTCCTTACCATAGAAAATACCAACAATTAAATTTCTTAAGCTTGTTATCTCCTGTATTCATATTAGCAAACTAGAAATAATAAAAGATGAAAAGAAAAAAAAACAAAGAACTATCCGAGTCCACAGATTCACTATGTGTCCTTAAGAAAATTAATCCCCTCAAGTACTCGAGGTTGCCGATTAATTTCTCCCAAGATAAAACGGATTAACCATTAAAGAAGCAGTGGTACCTCAAACTTCAATAATTTCAACTAACTCAAAATGACAGCAACGAATCACACACACAGACACGATCGATCGATTTTATTTTGTAAGAAATGTATGCAAGAGAAGGGAAGAATTTGATGCAGAAAAATGAGAGAAAACCTCTCTATTTATAGCCAACAAAGGGTAAAAGTCACAACTCTTTGAAAGAAGACAATCTTTCAGAAATGTCACAACAATTTGGAAAAGGCATAACCTTTCAAACGGTCACAACTCTTTAGAAATGACACAACCTTTCATAAATGTCACAACTGTTCGGCTTAGTCACAACCTTCAGGAGATTCACAACCCTTCATTTCCTATTCACACCTTTAAAACCTAGCATAAGATATATCAAATGCACACCCAAAAAAGAGAGACTAAATGACATAATTTCCCTAATGGAATCATTCATCAATAAGAAGAAAATAATCTAAGGTTGGAAGGAAAGAACTAAAGAACATGGGTAGTTTATTTATAAAGAAGTGGTCATCCAATTCACCTTTGTTTCGGTGTTTTGCTTTATTCTCTCTTTTTCACTAAGCATGCACATGGAAGAAAATTAATTAGCTAACCAGGATCATTGACATATATCAGTTAACATCAAACTACTAAAAAAATAAGACAACAAGCACTGGCTTTGGCATCATCTCCAAAAGTTTATCGTCTAACATATAAACATCACAACACTCTGCCTCATTTGGAAAAACACTAAGATCCCAAAGAAACTATTTGATAAAAAACACGTAAATCAGGAACTTCATTAATCTTTTTCATTTCTACCTTTATGTATATGATTTTCCTCATGCTTCAACTTCTTATAGTTTAACAAATCATATATAAATTTTGATTAAACGCTTCTCAATCTAGTTAAGAAATACCATCCCGTAGTTCTTTCACATATTAAAGCCAACAATAACAATAAACACAGCGAAATTCCACAAGTAGAGCCAGTCAGGAGAAGGTAATTTATGTTCGTTCTCTTTTTACTTCTAATTACACTTGCAAAACATCAATTCCTCTTGATCCCATTTTATATGACATCATTACTACTTGACTACATATCTTTTAATATATCTGATTGTAACTATTTTCAAGTACAAAACTCTACGGCTTTGTAACTTTTAAGTATTTAAATCCCACTTTTAAAAAATTAAATAATGTCCAATTTGAGTAAAAAAATTAACCAGTTTGATCATAATACTCCAAATCAATCATGATTTTGGGATGGAGTACTGCTGTTCAGAAGACGGTAAGTACTACTAATTGAGATTATTTGAATTATCGAAACAAAAAGAGGATACAATGAAAGTCCAAGAGATGGGAAAAAAGGAGTGAGGGTACATGATTCATTCAGCTTTGAGATAATTCAACTCATTTGTGTTTCTGTTCCCTATTCAATAAAGGTTGCATTGAATGCTTTCCCACAAGCCACACTTGTATTTCATTTGCTGCTATATAAATTTTTAATAGAGATTAATAAAATAAAAAACAACAATAAACATACTTATATATAAATAAATTAATTACTACCAATGATTTTAAAATTGCTCTTATTTGTCTAATCAAGTCGACCTAATGCTTCTGTTTCCTTGGATAAGAACAAATAAATTGTTAAAAAACTTTCATGATTAATGAAAAAAATTAATTCTTCACTCCCCAGAACAAAAGGAAAATAAAGGTATTGATAGAGAAAAAAAGCATAAAGTAGTGCGACTTTAAGTTTACGAAAAAATATTTCAATTCTGGTCCTATTGAATCTTGAAATCCCCTTTAAACCCAGTCCTAAAATCTCAAAATCATGGAAAAAATGATCTTACGGGAGAATAAAACATTCATATTAATTCGATAAATAAATATGCAGAATGAGCCTCACTCTCCTTCAAACAATTGCCATTTCAGGTGTATTTCTGCCGTATTGGTAAAATTGAAAGCATACAAATCTTGTGTAAAAATCAGCATCTTTTCTTAAGAAAATCTAAATCCAACAAATGACCCATATGCTAAAATGCCAAAAAAAAAGAGACGAAAACCCCTGAAAATAGTACCTGAAGTCACAGAGATAGTAACTTTAGGAGGGCATGCTTCAATACAAATTCACTTTTATATCTATTTGTACCAAAAAATTGAGTAATTGCATGAGAGACGATAAATTTAAAAAGAAGAATTCATATGAGGGAAGAAAAAAATTACAATGTCACCTCTCTTTGGGAATAACAAAAGTTTGGATAACTATGGGGAAAATTGAAATATACTTGGATAAAAGGGGTTATTTTAGAATTAAATCAAGTTAATTTGTTTTTATGCAGGAGTTACAAATATGTCAAGCAAAAATTAAAGTTGAATACCTAAAATACCATTACAGCAACTGGTTAATATTGATGACAAATTTGGTACTTTTTTAAAGGAAAGATTTTTTTTGGAAATTTGAAGTATAGTACAATCTAAACTCTTGACGATACAATTAAGCTTATAGAACACTTAAATGAGAACCCGAAAATACCCCCAACTCCAGTTAAAAAAGGAGTTCAACTCTCCTTTCTATATATGTAGTATGTAGTAAGTAAAGTAAAGTAAAAGTATATTTTGGGTACAATGCAACAATTCTGTTGCTGGGAGACCACAGATACAACTAAATTAAATAAGAATGGAAAAAAAAACTTAATTCTCTGTATATGTTATCTACATCAATGCATAACTGCTTTAAAGTTGGAAAACAGAAGCTTTACCAAGTATTTGGTCAAAGTGAGGGGAAAAAAGGGCAGAAAGAATCAATGTGTTGTGGTTAGGAATTATTCAAGAAGGCTGTTTGCAAGAGCTTAGGACAGAGTCCTCTAGAAATTGGGTAAGCTGTGAAGTATACAATTCTGGGTCATTTCTGAAATGATCAACGTGAGGCGTAGAAACGAAGTTGCAAGCTCTAACATCGCGACCAATTCTTCGTTGCTCTTCTACAAAGGACTCAACCAAAACTGCAGGAATGACTCTGTCAGCACTGCTGTATATGTAGAATTGAGGGCAACTTGGTTGCCGGGATGTCAATAGATCTAGAACGTCATAAAGCCTCCTGCAATTTCATCCAACCATCAATGTAAGTACAAACACAAAACTATTTTTGGCACTTGCTATACACACAAATGACTTGAAAATATAATTACAATCCATTGGTGAATGGACATGATATCGATAAGGTCTAGTTCGTACGTTGAGTAGAGTACAAAGGCAAAAAGTAGATTTAATATTGGTACTTCTGTTAAAAATACTGCAGGCTGATAAACATTTGCAGAAAAGGTAATTCTGGAAGATATCTCTACCTATTTACGGTGGGAAGGTTCAAAACCACCTCAAAGAACTTTTCTAGTACTAATAGCAATGCTGCTTCAGTTACTGCAGGCTTAGTTTCAACAGAAGTTTTGGCTTCTATTGTCACATCTCTATCGTTTAAAGTCATGCTGCGTTTTGTTGCAACACTATTCTTCTTTAAAAAGGCAGCACAAAATCCAGAAGCCCAGACCTTGATACAAACAAAGAAGGGAACTTGACAAAATTAGTTTAACCTTACCAAGGCAAAGATTAACATTTATTATATGCAACTACACAAGTACTAGCTTCCCCTCCCTTCTCCTAATGTCCACAGCTGACCCCCAGGCCATCGACCTTCCCTTGAAGACTAAATCAAGAATGAACAACTTCCACATTATCAAGTATAAGAATATATTTTGAAAAGAAGGCTGCATGTCTAAGGCCTAAATAGAAGAAAAGAACATGATCAAAATAAGAGAACAACATGTCCTGATAAAAGTACAAGCAACTGAGCAATTTCTAAATGGCTAAGCCCCGACTATATATGACACAGTTGGATTTCAATAGAAATGTATGGCTCTTAACAATTGCACTGCATTAACCTTTGGAAATAAGACTATGTTTGAAGATACACTATTCTGACACTTGCACATAAAATAGAATGATTTTTGCTCAGGTCTAATATCACCTGTAATTCGGATAAAGAGCCAATTTCGTAAGGGATTAAGCCACTTATATTATTCTCAAAGAGCCTCAACTCATAGAGCTTCTGGTATTTTTGAAGAGTTGAAGGAATGGAAAATCATATCAATGATTTTAACAGAGAGACTCAAGAAAGTTATGTCAAAACTAGTGGATGAACAACAAATGGCATTCATAAAGGGCAGGAAAATTATGGATGCAATACTGGTGGCTAATGAATGTGTGGACATGAGATACAAATCCAAAGCTCCAGGAATTCTATGCAAGCTAGACATAGAAAAAGCTTATAATCATTTGAATTGGGAACATATGTGGAGAACATTAAGGAGGATGGGGTTTGGCAACACATGGATAAAATGGATGAGGTTCTGCATAACTACAGTGAAGTTTTCAGTTTTGATAAGTGGCTCTCCAACTGGCTTTTTTTCCTCTGAGAGAGGGTTGAGACAAGGAGACCCCCTGTCTCCTTTTCTCTTCATTTTGGCCATGGAAGGTTTAAGTGACATGCTGAAGAGTGCTCAGGTGAATAACAAAATCAGGGGCTTCATTGTGAATGAAGGAAACTCTCTGGGAGTGTCTATTTCCCATTTACAATATGCTGATGACACCTTGGTATTTTGTGAAGCAGAGAAGGAACAACTAAAACACCTAAGGGTTATCTTCATCCTATTTGAAGCAGTTTCTGAACTTCATATAAATTGGGAAAAGAGTTTTATCTATCCTGTGAATGAAGTTCCAGAAATAAGTACTTTGGCAAACATTTTAGGTGGTAAGATAGGAGAGATTCCCACCACCTATCTTGGAATGCCATTGGGAGCTAAGAGTAAGTCCATGAATGTATGGAACTCTATGGTGGAAAGGTGTGAAAAGAAGTTAGTTAACTGGAGAAGTCAATATTTATCTTTGGATGACGGAGTCAGTCTGATCAATAATGTTCTTGATGCCATGCCAACTTACATGATGTCCCTTTTCCCCATTCATGGGAAGATCATCAAAAAGTTGGATGCTATCAGGAGAAACTTTCTTTGGCAAGGTAATGGTGAAGGGGAGAAGAAGCACCATTTGGTTAAGTGGGAGGCAATCATAACATCCAAAAAAGAGGGAGGTTTAGGAATTATGAATTTGAAAGCACAAAACAAGAGCCTTCTGTTAAAATGGCTATGAAGACTGGCAGCAGATGAGCAGGGCTTATGGAAGAAAATCATCGTTGCAAGATATCGTAGGGAAGGACCATGGACTACTCAGACAGTTAAAACTCATTATGAAAGGGGAGTATGGAGGACTATCAGAAATCAGTGGAAAAAAATGTGGGGTAATTTTGTGATCAAAGTGGGTAATGGCAGAAAGACCAAGTTCTGGAATGATATATGGATGGGGCAAACACCTCTGAGGCAACAGTTTCCAGACATTTACAATCTCAATCAATAGAAGCTAGCTACTATCTCAGAGGTAAAAAATGCACAAGGTTGGAATCTATCCTTCAGAAGACTCCTCAATGACTGGGAAGTGGAGAGAATGATTCAGTTCTACAATACCTTGGAACAAGCTAAGAGTCTCAATTTTGAGGAAGACAAATTGTTATGGAGTTTGGACAAAGATGGCAAGTTCAAGGTGAAAGCAGCCTACAAGATGCTGAATATCTCAACAGAAACCAAGGAATGGTGGCCATGGAAGATGATCTGGAAAGGGAAGATACCTCATAAGGTGGCCTGTTTCATTTGGCTAGTTGCAAGTCAAGCAGTTCTGACCCAGGACAACCTTATGAAAAGGGGCAGGCAGTTATGCTCCAGATGCTTTTTTTGTGAAACTGAAATAGAGACAGTAAATCATCTTTTTCTGCATTGTAAAGTGACCAGAAAATTATGGCAATGGTTCATTAATCTGAGGGTTATTGGATGGGCCATGCCAAGGTATACTTCAGAAGTACTAGCATGCTGGAATAGAGATGGAAATCAATCAAAACACAAGGAGAGATGGAAGATTGTCCCTGCTTGCATACGGTGGACAATCTGGAAGGAGAGAAACCAGAGATGTTTTGAGAACAAGAGCATTCCCTTCCAAAGTATAAAGATGAACTGTTTAGCAACATTTTACTTTTGGTGTATCCATTATGTACCTAAGGATATAGGGGAAATTACCCTATTTTTAGACAGTTTATAAGGGATATAGGAAATAGATTTTGTTTTGGGCTGCCCTTTCATACTTTTGATGTAACTATGTAGGAGCACACTATTGGTGTACTCCTTTGTTTATAATACCAGTTAACTTTCTCAAAAAAAGAGTTGAAGGAATGGAGCCAAAAAGTTTGTTTCATTGAAGATTCAAGACATTTAAACTTGTGAGATTTCCTGATTCTGGTGGTATGGCACCTAATAATTGTTGTAACTGAGAAAAAGTTTGAGTTATTTTGGAGAGTTTCCAAGTTCTGTTGGAACTGTTCCAGTGAAGTTGTTGAATGAATGATTGAACTCACAAAGACCTTCCATTCCTCCACAAACCATGTGGAAATTTTCCTCGAAAATTGATTAGATATAAGAAGAAAATGGCCAAGGTGTTCAGGCCAGCAAGGGAAAGTGGTAGATCTCCAGTCAAATTTTTGAACAATAAATCAAGACATCTAAGATCTTCAAGTTGTCCAAATTCAGAAGAGGTTTTTCCAGTGAAAAAGTTGTTAGAAAGGCGAAGATGGGTAAGATTTTTGGACAGCACTAGCTTAGATGGGATAGGACCAGAGAAGCTATTGTTTGTCATGTGAACTGTTAGAGAATTTGAGCCAGCTAGCGGAGAAATGTTTTCACTGAACTTATTGTGAGAAAAGTTAACTTTGCTGAGATTTTTCAGAAGGGAAGATATTCAGGAAGTGGACTGTCAAAGCAATTGTTGTAAGGAGTAGTCATGTCCAGCTCTAATAGAAATCTTAAAGTTGGTGGCAATTATCCTGAAAGTTTGTTATCAACAAAGGCCAATTTTTCATGCTTCTTGCAGTAGCCTAAGCTTGATGGGACTGGACTAGACAAATCATTCTGAGTTAGCTGAAGAATAACAAGATTCTTAAGCCTACCAATGGCATCAGAAATAGAGCCTGAAAATTGATTAGCCAAGAAATCAATGCGTACTAAGCAATTTGTCAATTCTCTTGGGGTAGTTACGGACAACTGGTTTCCATAGATGTAGTTCACACAACCTCTGAAGCTTTCCTATTTCCACTGGAATTCTTCCGGAGAGCATGTTATGGATTAGGTACAAATCTTCCAAGTTAGTCAAGTTTCCTGTTTGAGGCAGTATATTTCCAGTAAAGTTGTTATTGTTGAAAATGAGGCATGTGAGACTTTCTAGCCCTTTCGAAGCCTCAAGGAAGTATTCCTCCAAAGTTGTTACTGGAGAGATCCAGTAGTCGCAGGGACGTGTGCAGTTTAGTAGCTCCAAGGGGAAATTCCTCGATGGCTTATTCTCAGCCATAATAAGTAGGCTTAAAGCTTGAACCGTGAAACAAAAGTTGCTTAGAATGCTTCCTGTTAAAAAGTTGTCAGAGAGAGCTAAACTCTCAAGATTCTTTCACGTTATCAAGCATAAGAATAGTTTTCGAAAAGCAGGCTGCATGGTTAAGGCCCTAAGATAGAAGAAAGCTAAAAATACGAGAACAGCAGGTCCTGATTAGAGTCCAAACAACTTTGCAATTCTGAATGGCTAAAACCTGACTATATACGACACTTGTAATAGTTGTCCAATAAAAGCATGAAAAGGTTGGATGTCAATAGAAATGTATAGCTCTAAACAAGTGCTCTGCATTAACTTTCAGAAATAAGACTACTCTCCAAGAAACACTCTTCTGACACTTGCACATAAAAATGATATCTTATCATCACAATTTTTGAGTCAGCAATACCTGTGGATCGGGAGCTGCGACAGGGGCAGAATCAACAATACAACCCTTAATCATTCTCATTAAAGCATGATCTTGTTTCTGAAACTTTTCCAAAATGACACAATAACTGTAAGGCCACGAGAATAAAAGAAGTCAATCAATAATTACCAAGCTAGTATTAAGGAAAATGTAAATACTTATGTTTCTGTTCTATTCCTAGACTAATGAGTATCATCAAGAACTCACGTTAACTATCCAGTATTGCTGAAAGTATGGAAGGCCAAGTTCTTTCCATGCTCTTCTTCCAACCAATCTACTAGATGATTCACAAGCATTTCAATATCTTGCTCTGCCTTTCCCCCGATTTGATAGCTTAGAATCTCAGACATCGAGAAAGTAAATGTAATGACATGATATCCTCTTGATGCATACCACTCTGCATATCTCTTTAGATGCTTTTGCTTTGCACCTAACCATCCCAACAATACTACCAGAGTGGTAGACTTTAGTGGTGAATAATCAGAATTCTGTGATGCATTTGGCTCAGGTAAGTGACATGTATACAACACCTCGGAAGGTGAA